TATTTCATATGAAAGCAATGAATTTGTCAGTTATTCTCTTCAACAACTTAGTAGTTTCACGCATAACACTGAATAAAGCAAGTATGAACTTACCATCGCGATGAAAGTAAGTACGACCATGAAAATGCTTGTCATTACCAATATTACAACGAATTTGCATTTCTTGGATACTGGCTTTAATTCTTGTTGCGATCTGTAGTTACGGGGCAGTAAACAATGAAAGTACTCCTTGTTTGATGTGAAAATTACTAAATTGTATCCAGTTGGAGAAAACCGACTGTTATCACTCCCTCACACTAGCTATCTGCAGAGACGTTTCCCTTGTGTCGACAAACTCCACGAACCGTTTCACTTATCATCCCTGGGCTCAGTTTCATTCATATTACACCTCAAAAATATGTTCTCATTTTATCTGCTTGCTCATTTGCGGTTTCTCTCCGGCAATAATCTTTCAACTGTTTGATAATATTTTAAGTTTCAACTGTGGATGAAAGCTGAACCGTCGATGAATTATTTGGAAATTGCAAAAATTGGCTTGTTCGAAACATTGGCCGTGCACACATTGTTCGAATATCACCAACGGTTTGTTTGTTCGAATATTAATCAAATTATAGGCATTTTTAAGAACGTGCAATGCACTGAACATTCTTACCAATGCTCATCAATTGATAACCCTAACACCATTTTACAATCATTTAAACTCGTTTGATACTGCCAAAAAGAATAGTGAATTGCATTCGTTCACCTCCGTAGATACGATGCATAAAGTTCACGAATATACTTGATAACTTTGCTTGTGAATTTTGAAATTAAGTCACCAAAATCAGCCGTAAATGCCACATTCAAAGGAATGCCGAACACTGCGTATAATATTGAAAGAAAACGACCGCTGACCGTTCTTACCACCTATGGTCATGTTTAGCTTCATATTTTTAAGCACTTTTTGCAACAATCATCAAAAGTACAAAATAAATCCTCTGTTTATACGTATAAAACAATGCGAGGTTTTAAAGATTTAATAAACACACAAAAATACGAATTCCTCTTTTTTTCGCATTTTCAAGCTGACGAAAATAATTTAGTGATTCAGAATTCCTCACGTGAGAGATGAGCACTTTGAATAGAGTAAATCATCATTCTTGAGAAGTGATATTAAAGGAGAATGTTGATGGCATATCAAGCGTCTTTCTCAGGTGACATTCGGTGAAAAAAAAAGATGATACGTGATCGCTAACCAGGTCACCGTACCCGATAGTTGTGATAACCCCGAACGAAAATACGATCGATTCGTACGGTTTGAATACCTTTGGCCTTAAATCTCTCATGCTTTCCCGATGGCAATTATCAACCTGCAACCAAAAACCTCGGCATTAAACTATCGCCAAATGGGGATGACCCTACAATGATAGTTGTCGATTCAACAGTATTTCGAAGTTAATAATTCGACTTCAAAAATTTCGCGTTTTAACGATCTGGTTATATGGGTTGAAATGGTTAAAGATGCAAGAAAACTGATCCATGTGGAATAATATTTGATTTTTCGAAACGATCACTAAACTCACGTATTCAATCGTTTCTGAAATTTCATTCCAAAAATCACGAATGTTTTCACCAGAGATATTCAGGGTGATATAGGATGTCCAAAGCTTCCGCATCGACGCTTGTTTCTCGGTGATGCATGCACGATCAAATCTTTTTTGCGCATCTTGTGATGAACGCAAATCGGTAAACTAAAATACTCAATGCTTTGCTGCACGTATGGAAGTGATTTGAGAGACTTAACCAGTGAAGTGATGGAATTCAGGAACAGTCTTGCAGTTAGTAAACATGATATCGGAATCATCCACACATATATAAAAACAATCTTGAAATTAAGTGTTCCAAGGAATTTTTTAACTCAATGACGGCAGGTATCGTAGACTGGAAAACGAACTGAAGAATTCTGTCAAACGAATATCGCAGGAAAAATTATTAAGGTAAAAAGCCTATCTGTCTGTTCGACCAAAACCGTGAAGAAGACGAACCCAAAAGATTGCTCCACCAAAACATGTATAAGCTGGTAAAATTAGAAGGTAGAAAAGAATGCATAGTCTGGGCCGCACTCGTGGCACCACAAGAGCGTCGTAGATTCTGAAATTGCAACCTAATGAATGATAGTAGTGTCACGTTATCGTGCTCATTAGTTCCGCCCAAAAGTCACGCACATTAGCTGGTTGTAATCAACCAAATATGTTCCATCTTATGAAGCGGAATAATGAGACAAACAGTAACAAGTAAATACTTCTTCAATTCCCCAATTGTAAACTCCTCAACATCCACCCCCACATTTCCAGAGCCCTCCATAGCTCTATGGATTCGCTACAAACAATGGGTACTGAAATGGTTATTTCACATTAAATACAGACATGGTATGCAAATTTCTAAATCCTTCGGAATTTACATGTGAAACCTAATACTTTCATGCAAAATCGCCGGAGAAGAGGTCGCTGTTAGGATTGGGCTGAGGCATTGATGGGTATGACGGAAGATAATAGCGAGTGGCGGTCAGCTGAGAGTATTGATGGATATTCAAAATTAATTCACACCTCATTTCAAGAGTGCTTTCATCCGACTGCTAATTATCAAACGCTTGGTAGGAAATTCGTCAACAATGCGTTTCAATTCCAACCGTTTTAATTCCATCGAAGCAGTTTATTCTCATTTGTCGCTAACCCGTTTTTCGAGTTGCGAGAAGTTTACTTCTTCAACAAATGAAACGTATCACAAAGCATAGTTCAATCAATCCCTTGAAAATCGTTTCAGTTCAAAGTCCTTAGCTTTGATCAGTTTATACATCACCACTTTGATCAATTGTCACTCACAATCAAATTTATTTTCAAACGACCATCATGAATGTTCGTACTCATTTGTATGTTCCTTCTGCTGCAAACGAAATACGCGATTTCAGAGTGATCAACTTCAATAATGACCTATTCGTTCGTTCATTTCATACATGTATTTCTTATTTTTCTTCTGTTTTTTGATTAATTAATTACTTTAAATGATTTTCGAGCGTCAGTTAGTTTCCTTATATGCATAATTGATAGGAGTTTTGTTGTATAGTTGTGAATTAATCACTTCCATCAGTTAGAATTCAGCACTCGTCGAATATTTGGTATTGTAATATAATATAAGTTTTGAGCTTTTTTGTCGATTTTATGTACTTCATAAACAAGTGACAACGATGTCTTGCAAATTCATAGAATTCGCATTTAGGAAATCCTTTTCCATGCACATTCTTCGCTGAGTACTATGAGAAGAAAATTAATCTGTTTCACTCAGAGTTGCAACGAGAGATTCGTAATGATGTGCTTTTTAATAGGAGATAGATGCAGTGAGAAACCTTGAATATTTTCGATTTTTTGTCGTTGTTTTGTCTTTCGGCGTGTCTAGTGCGCTTTCAAATAACTGACTATGTTCGAACATCAGGTTAAGAGTGACCGAGTTTAGAGGGAATAGCAGGGTTAAGTCTAGCGGATTGGACGGGGTTCAGTGGAAGGTAGCCTAATACAGCATAATTTACGTACCGTGAATAAAAATCTAATTATTGTTATTATCCGTCTATATTATCATGATCACGCGTAGATCAATCAGTCCGCTTTGATTTTAGCGTTTGACGCCGATCAAATCAGTTCCACATTATGTGCGTTAAAGAACTGCTTCCGGTGTTGACCGAACCACTCGGCGGACGTTGAACGGTCTCCGCAATAGCTCAGAGGTGGAGCCCCAACCGGTAATTGATATGTCACGGGTTTGATTGCCGTTCACTGAAGAAACTTTTGCTCGAAACTAAGTGGTGTACCAATATCATTTAGGTAATATAGATATTTATTTAAAAAATCCAGTTGAAGCTACAGAAGAAGCTCTCAAGGGTGTTCCATATAAGTTAGAAGTAGCGAGATGAAAATGGACAGCGCAAATACGAAT